AAAAAAATCAATTGCAAACTGTTCGTTGAGCGATTCGTTTGAAGGGAGAGGGGAAAATATATGAATTATTTATATATAATAATAATAAATAATATCTAATTTTATTCTTTCAGGATACACAAGGAAGCTGCAGTAACGAGATGCATTCGACCTATGCCGCGCTATACGCTTTCCGATTGTCACTGAATCAGGTAAGGCGCGTTAAGTCTCTGGAGCTCGGTCCCACAGTAATCGACTTTAATTAATGCCCACTTCGCGTCCCTGCCTGCACTTTATAAAAACTTTATAAACGACGAAAACTTATTTTCCAGTTGAGTTTTTTTTCAAAAAGTCGACCCAGTTTATATATAAATTTTTGTACAGGCAACAAAGATATATTATGACGATCTATAATATTATAACCAAGAGACGTATTATTGACCAGATAGAAAATTATTTTTTTATATAAATACAAAAGAACTATTTCGTCTATATAAACATACAAACATTAATTATAAAAGACAAATGTCTCTACTTCAATGAAGCGACTCCTCATAACGGTTTTTGCTCTCAGGCAGCCAGTCCAGCTTTATACAGGGCTAGGAGCTTCGATCGTGGCATGGCGACATCCGCAGTCTTCCTCGCAACCCTCGGACTGTCGATGAGCATGTTCTCGTTGAAACAGATGCAGTCGTCGCGCCAACGTCGTCTGCGAAGGCTCTGCTAGAAATCCCCCCATCGCGATCGTAATTCATCAACAATCAAAATCAACAGTCAACTTGAAGAAATGAGTCCATCAGTCGTGAAAACGTGCCTGCGCGACAGTTCATCCCAGTGGGCGACGTTATTCTGAAGTCAACAATGCGGCGTATGTCGGGTTGAGCTATACCTCCACGTCTAGAATGAGAGTTTTGCGGTTTGTACCTATGTCGTATCAGGCAATTTGCAATTGCGTATAAATTTCGCGGCACGTTCCTCTATTGGAGCGCGAACGACTTGTACGTCTGAAGAATCATGTCCTCGATTCGTAGACGCGCTTGCAAGACCGCGCGCTTCAATCACGTGGAATTCAGCACTTGGTACAGACAGGGATTGCAAACGCGATGGGAAATATAGAACATAGACTGGAATGTGAACTCTATTCTGGAAGAAAACGGGATAAATGAGATGGAGAATTTCAACTTGTCCTTTTCTGTGCTTTTCGAGAACAATTGAATACATTGACCAATCAAAAGTTCGCTAAACAGAAATGGAAACAGAGCAACCCGTTTTTTTTCTTCTTGGTACCCGGGCGCTAGCGTGGGAGTTCACATTTCAGTACAGTATATAGTCCATTGGATTTTCGTCGAAGACAGCATCGGCTTCGAGCAAGACGTGTACGCTTCGTGAGTCCGCGAATATGTAATAGCTTCTTCTCCCCCTAGAAACGATAGCTCATCTCATCAAAAGGGAGAGATTCTAGTCGTGCGAGTAAACGAGAAACGGTGCAGCGAATGCGACGGCAATTCTTTTCCAGGAAAACTTTCGCTAGCGATTGATATATCAGAGGATTTTTGCGTTACTTTGCACCACGACTTAGCTTAGTTTTATCGATTATTTAATAGTTCCTTCTGGCGCACAGTCGCGATTGCTGATGCATCGTAACTCGATTTCATGATATATCGCACGCCATTTCTTTAATACTGAATCGATTAAGGGGAAAAATTACACCGAGGAATGACATTAAAGGGTTAACTATATTCATAAAAACCATATTTAAACAATCAAGGATTAAGACTAAATTTTCTGTTATCACTATGCTCAAAGAGATGGGTTTTATAAATTAGTTCTGATCGAAAGTTTTCCTCGAAAAGACAGCCTCGCTGCGAACGAGGGCGAGCCAAAGAGTTTCGCTGAACTGAAACAAGCGAACTTAGTTGAGGTTTTTAACGTTATTAGATAGACTCGGGTCGTAACTTGACGTTCATCAATCATATATCGTTGATAATGCTCATCTCGTCTTTGTCCCCGTAAAGTCGAGTTATTTGAATTAGTCGTTGAACCTGAAGCATAAGTGGCACATGTAGATTGTACGCATATGTACTGCAGTTGTTCATCGCAAATCTCTTCGCGACGTAATCGCCTAAAACCCTATTAAACCCTCCTCGGTGCTTTTGACAAATTAAAATATTCTAGTGCAATTTTTCTCCCTTGCTATTCGACACTATTTTTTTCATTTTACGCGACAAACATACCGTGCTGTAATTATCACAAAAATATACAATGTATTCTGTCAACATTATACGAATCTGTGTATTAGGATGTATTAGTGCCATCTCAGAGCATTTGTAAGGTCATTGTTTTTAATAAAAATGTTGATTCAATTAACTGGGACTTAGTTTTATTAAATATTTCTCGTTAATGCAAGATTTACGTTCAAATCCCACAGAAAGAGAAGGAAGCGATTACGAAGAAACGCAGGATATTTTATCAAAATGTTCAGAAATCGATAAAATATTGTTAAACAATATTATGTCTAGAGAAAACGTGTCAGGACATCTATCCTTCTCTTGGTCTTAACATGTACATTTATTTATAATTATTATACAGTCTCAGGCTCGATATTCCATGTCGTACAACTTGTCTTGTCCATTCTCTCTTTCTCTCTCTCTCTCACACACACATTTTCGTCTCTCGTATTTTCATAAAAAGTCGAGTCCATGCCGCAGAAAAGAAAACTGCGAGCCAAGAATTTCATCCGTTATGCGTACGAGCCTTATTTACGAGTGATATAAAGATTTCCAATTTCTCTTTTGTCACGCAAAGTTATTCCTCATCTATTTCCACGGCACGGACGCGATTGCTCATACAAGAAATATAATATTTATATATAAGTAGTTCATATATATATATGCGTGTATAGTAGGTATGTATAGAGAATTGAAGATCGTCGGGCTGCTCGATTCGAAAGTTCGTATACGCGTCAAGTATACAACGCGACGACGACATGTTACACAACATCTTCAAACGATCCTGCGACGGATATGCGAGAAAAAAAGCTCCGGGGATTCGGGAATCCCCATCCGAGATAATTTATTTAAAATTCGTAGGACCTAAATGTACACCGTTTGATAATTTCTTTCTATCCCGCATCGTTCGACGTTCCACTTTTTTTTCTTCTTTTCATTTGAAAAGGAGGACTAGAATTCGAGATTACGAGGGATTGGAGATTTGATTTCGCGATCGGAGAAAGGGATTTGATTGTCCGTCAATTTCGCAAATGATAGAAATTGTTTAAAGAGGAGGCTCAAAGAGGGGGAGAGCTCTCTACTTGAACGAGAAAGAGGGGAAAATAACGCTGGTGACGAGATCCTCGATAAACTCTCATCGGTAGACGAAACAAAGGTTGTTTTAAAAAATTCCTCGCGATATGCTGCGCCT